GGGGGGTAATTTGTAACTTTTTTATGTAATTTAAGAAGACCCTCATACCAAGATGAACAGGCATAATCGAAATGACATTGTATAAGAGCTGAACATAGAGTTTTCGTGATTTTTGGGATAGAAAGTTACTATTTCTGTAAAGGATATTAGTCTTTGATTTATTTTTTGTATGATATTGGAGACAATTTCTTCTCCAGATAAAAACCTGTCAATCATCACCCCAAGGTAATTTACAGCCAAATGAGAATTACAAATTTGACCTTTGCAAGAAACCTGAAATTTATCCTTGAGCGTTTAAATCAATTTTCTTTTTGGACCAAAAAGGATACTTTCTGTTTTTCCCAGATGTAATGATAATTTATTGTCAACAAGCCAATCATGACAGGATTCCAAAACCAATGAGATTTTAGATGAAATTGTTTCAGGGCATTTATGTGAAAATATGAAAGCACTCTCATCCGCATAGAGGAGTAATTTACATGAATTTTCAATACATATTTCCATGTCATTTATATAAACCAAAAATAAAAGTGGTCCCAATAATCTTCGTTGAGTAATTACCAACTGACGAGTGTACCCAATTAACACTGACTAAATGAGATATCTTTGCTTAATAACATTTGAACCAATTGCAGTACTCGACACCAATAAACTGTAATGTGTTACACAATATAGAATGATTTACTGTATCGAAAGCTTTTTGTAGGTCTAACAAGACCATACCAGGGGATGAACCTTTCGACGTTTTGAGATTTTATATAGTCCCTGAGATAGATCAAACAGGAGTCAGTAGAGTATGATTTCTTGAAGCCGGATTGAAATTCATACAATAGGTTATTTTTAACAAGAAAAAATTCTAATTTGATATAGACAGCTTTTTCTAAATAATTTGACACAATATTTAGGATGCTCACATTTCTATAGTTTTTTGCCTGAAGGCTATCCTTCATTTTGAATAAAGGGATAACTTTTGCAGTTTTGAGATCGTCAGGTACTATACCTCAGATATGGATAAATCTATTAAAAAGGTGATATGAATTTTGATTACTGGTGCCGCATCCCGGAAAGAATCTGGCAGGAATTTGATCTAAACCTGTACTTTTACATATATTCAAATTGCATAACTCCATGTACACAAACTCTTCCGAGACATCATGAAGATGAAATTTAATCCCTTTCTGGTTTCTTTTAGTATAAACATCCTTCAACAACTTTGATGTATAATGGTACAAGCCTTTACACAATGGAGATTTTTCAACCAATTTAGAAGCAACAGTAGTAAAAAAATGTTAAAATGGTTTGTTACTGTAATGTCATCATAAAAGTTTACACCATTAATATTGAGAATTGTTTTTAGGTTTGATTTCTTACTCCTTTCTTATCCCAGGCCCTTAAATTGTTTCCACATGCTTTTAGAATTGCCTTTATTTTCTTCGATTTTATTTTCGAAATAATTGCATTTAGCAAGTTTTTGAAGTTTATTTCTGAGCTGGCAAAAAAACTTACATATACATGTATCAAGATTGTGATTCCTCTTGAAAATGTTAAATTGATTATCCTTTTCAGATATGATGTCAAGTATTTCAGAGGTCATCCAGGGTTCGGTACGTTGTTTTAGGCGAATTTCTGATATGGGAACCACATGGTCTGAAGCATCTGTGAAAAAGTCTCTGAACAATTTCCAGGCCTTGTTTATGTCAGGAGCAAGAGAGCAATCTTCCCATTTATCATTCTGTCAATTTATTTATAAAAGTTTCTTTTAGAGTAATTGTAAGTTGAACGCATTTTAACATTATTATGCATGTTGAATACAGTACATTATACGAGGTCGTTTGCGCGTGCAGAACACAGGGAGGTGATCACTGATGCCAATCGGTAGGACACCTGATTGACTTATATTTTCATGTGTATTGCAAAGAATATGATCAATCAGAGATTGTGCGGAGTCGGTTATCCTCGTTGGATTAGATATGATTTGTTCTAGATTAAAAAGTGCTCCTTCGCATTCCAACAGTGTCCGCACAAGACATTTTAAGGGTGACAGCAATGTAGCGTAGTCTAAAAATTGATATTAACTCCTAATAATGGCAAATACATCGAGTTTGATTTGTTGAACCCATTCTCTTATGTGGTCTTCAACGTTTAATGATTTGTCAATGACAACTCCAGTGTCTTTTTCCTGAACCGATGATTCCAGGATTTTTCCATGTGTGTTGTATGATTTTAACATTGCATTCTTTGGTTCCTCGGATCGCCCAATGGACATATATTTGCATTTTCCTGGATGCATATCACTTAGCCATTGTGCACTCCATTTCGCCTTTACATCAAAATCTTTTAGAAGCGAATCCTTACCCTCCGGTTGGGTGATTATCTTAAAGGTTTTCGTGGTTGAAGTTTAAAGTAAAGCCATTGAAATGTTTCGAGATTTCGGCAATCGGTTAAACGGGCATAACTCAGTTAATTAAAGTTGGATGATTAAGGTGATCTCGCTTTTCTGATCATTCCTGGTAATTAACCTTTACTATGAAGTGTGAACTTAATTCGGTTTTAAATTGCACATTATCGAGTGGACAATGTTTAATTAAAGGGTCATAACTCAGTAAATTACAGTCTGATAATAGTGGTTATCAAATCTGTCAGAGGTCCTGTATTAATAAACCTTCCTGTGAAGTGAATTCATCAACAATTGGGTAAGATACTGAGCGGACACTGTTTCAGCAATTCATTAAACGGGCATTACGTTTTAAGTTATGGTCGGATATTATTGGTTATCAAAATTGTCCGAGCACTTATGATAATAACCTTCCCATACAGTTGGAATTTATTCTATTGAAAATCACCGAGTGGACACCGACGGGCCTATACAAACTGCATAAAATTGGGTATAGCAGTGGGTTACCCAAAAAGTCCTATAACACGTATGAATCTATTTCTCCTTCAGCATCAGCCTGAGTGTCTTGATAGCTGTTAAGCTCGTGTCAGTAGGGTAGAAGTATTTCCAGAGCATTGCACTATAACCGTTGTTTGAAGTGTAATTCCCGAACAGATTGCAGTCAAAGCAGGCTTCATACCACCATCCTCCGTGTGCACTACTGGTACAATCGCCGCTGAAACCGTCGTTATCATTGTCACGGGTGCTGAAAGGCCAGCCATTATGTGCATTGAGTGCGTTAACTACAACATACCAACATATTTATATTGTAAATACGAATTTAAACGAAACAATTTGCATTCAACATAGCATCAACAAACATAGTTTTGCAATTATATAAAATGTCTTATGACTAGGTTGACATTTTTGCGGGTTTCAGACACAGCAGCTATTTTTGTCTGATTGATGTTCAGGTTTTTTTCTTTCTAGAAACCAATAAAAATGGAATAAAAATATTTTCTGAAAAGCAATTAAATGAAAAAAGATGCTGCTCTTTCGGCTCATTGTTATAACACCAATAAATTGCATTGATATCATAAACTATCATATATAATACTTTAACAATGATGAAATTCGTTGCATTATATATCCTTTAGTGATTAAAAGATTGATCTGAAAACGAATTCTTTGGGGTTTTTTTTCCCTTTTTTTTCTGAAATATTTCACGTGAGGGCTTGATATATCACAGAACAACATGCGAGATTACGGTGATTTTTTTTAGTGGTTTAGCAAATTATACGATTTCGAACTACTTCCAAAATACTAAAAATATTATCGCCTGAAAAATAAGTTTGGTCAAGGATCTACAAGAAAAATATGATCCCCTGGAATTTCAACTTACATAGTCCGTCTGGCGTACTGTATCCGCCAATAGTCAATGTGTATTTCGTAGCCTCGTCAGAAACGTTGAAAGTAGTGTATTCTACATGCTTACGGGGGGTGCTCCAGCCTTCCATTTCAATCCGAAGCTTCATATTCTGGGCAAGCAGTAGTCTTAAATTCTCGAAACCTAATGTAATTTATGGAAACAATACGTGATTATGGTTGCCGTGTGTACATTTTGTGTGACTAGCTACTGTACACCAGGAAAATGTCGTCCTTCGCCCAGGTAATAATATTTCGCCCAGTAAGAATTTCGCCTTTCACATTTTATATATATTGTGTCGTTTGCGTATATTCGCTCTAATCATAATTTCGCCCTAATCACGGAGGGCGAAAAAGACAAAAGTGAATATGCAGCGAAACATTTTCTTGCATACTGTCAATATTTATCTTCTATATTTAATGTTCTTTATGATTAATTGAGATCGCAAATTCAAAAGCAATAGCCACTTGCAAAAAGGTAAAACAATATTTTCTTGTAAAGGGCGTGTCACACCTAGCCGATTTGAGACACTGGAGCTATACCAGATAGCACATTTGGCGATTTCCGGGGATCGCAACAGTATCGCATCGCTAAGAACGCTACTACACCGTCAGGACATTGTCAGAATATTGGCGACAATTTGAGGAACGGCAAGCGATGGTAGACATTTTTGAACATCCTTTAAAATGTACGCTTTCTCGCCGGAGCTATGCCAATTTTCTCGCCGTTGTTAATTTTAGGCTTCGGTTTAGTCCCGGCTTGGTACATCGATAGTGTGTGACAGGCCCTTAAAATAATAGTTTTGTTTGCAATTCTTCATCAACATAAAACTCCTTTTTAAAGTATGGCTAGTTTTGGAATTAAGCATACTGTTGAGACTTTAAGGTAACCAATATGATATCATACCCAGCCAGAACTCTCCTGTCAAACTTCCGAAACCATTCTTGTATTCATTCCATGTTTTGTAAAAGTCAACTGATCCGTCATATCTGCTGGCGACAATCTAGGTGATGAACGTGTATGTATTGTTATTCAAGAAGAAAATAAAACATCAACTTGGATAGTTATTACCTTTCTCACTTTCTAAAACAAGTTTTGTTTTCAAAAAGCAATGTGTAAGGGAAAAATAATAACATTACAATCAGTAAGGAATGCTATAATCGATTACTTTAAAGAAGAAAAGATATTTCAAATCACAAAACCCAAATGCTTCTTTCAGAAATTATATAATATTAGATAAGGTCACTGACATATACTTTCGAATGAACTGGTATCTACGGTGTGACGTTCGGAACAGCTTACCGTCCACGGTCCCCCTGCAGTGTCCATATCACAATACGCGGACACGACATTGCCAGTTGCAGGTGTAAGGGTGTACACTCCTGAACAATAGGCAGTGGGGACATATCCACAGTTACTAAGAGCTTAAACACGAATTAAAAATAATTAATTGGTACAACAGAAACGTTGATATGTATACATGGTTACACATAAAGCAAGAATTTGTGGAACACGTCCACTCTGTCCAAAAGATTGATGAGACGTAAGTTTAAAGAGAAATAGACATGAACAATATGACGTTGTGAACACAAACTTCTTGTTTGCAGTCAGGGGCGTTAAAGAAAGTAGTATCTCTTTATTTATCACATATAGCAATAAAGTACATTATCCCGACCATAAAGTCGGCATAAGATTTTTTTTATATAAAAACTGATATAATTTAATTTTGCCATTTTCCCAAAGTCTAGACAATTTCCATGTTACATCGTTTAACCTAAAAATCAAACAACCCAAATAGTGATGACGTCTTATTCCGCAATTTTTGGTGCGCTATTTGTAATTCAAGCTTCTGATTTGTTGAAGTCGCTTGGAGATGAAATTACTGCACAGTAATTTTGTGAATGAATCATCATTTAATATGAACTTAAATATTTTGAATGTCCTTTAAAATTTATCTACAAGGGGTAACAATGATTATTTTACGGTATAAGTAAATACCGAAAAAATCCTTTTTGTGTGTAAACCTCTTGGTGGATTTATGCACACAGTTTTATTTTCGGAATATGTCGTTCAAACCTTAAATAATGCTTATTCTATTCCTTAAAATCAGGATTCTGTGAGTAAAATGAAGATAAACTTTCTGTTCTATAAAAAGTGAGAATTATGACGGTTCAAAACAAATGTAAATATATCAGAACCGTTACAATATATCGGAAAGCAGGTATATCGCAATACATATGTATCGTAATGAACCACAATACAGAGATGACATATTGCTGTATCGCAATGTTTTTTCAAAAACTTGTTTTAATGTTTCTACTAGGTGTTTTAATTTTGTAAATTATTACAAAACAGATCTGCCAATAAGCATAAAACAGGCTTTTACTTGTGGTTGTAATCAGTTCAAAGTTTGTAATCGATGGTGGGTTTGACAAAAGTCTTACTTCTATGCGATCCATATTATGATTAAGTTCAATAGCATTCTGACAGCAACTTATTATAAAATTAAGCACATTATTCATATGACAGTATATCGGAATACGTATCGCAATATATTATTTCTGTATTGCAATATATCGTGATACAATCTTGGCATATTGTGACACTCAATGCAACACTAGAGAATACTGAAATATAATTAGAACCGTTATTCGATATCACAATCAGTCAAGTTATGACAAACGTAAACAACGGAACGAATTATGAAAAGCGCCTTCTGCTTCATAGACCACATTGCACATGTTAGTTAAGATAACATCCAGGTAAGATACATTGTGTACATGCAACATTCTTAGTATGAGAAATTGGATAATTAAAAACGAAAGCACTCGGCACACTAATAAGTATTATCAAGGAAAGAGACTGTTTATTAAAGATATCGTAATGGTGATCATGAGGCCTACTTACAGTCGTCACAAAAACGCGTCGTGATACATCCTGCGTTGTCATTTGGTACGCTAGTAGCCGACTGTATTGCGGGAATTGTGATATCAAGAAACTTTAAATTATCGAATCATTTGTGACATGTAAGCACTGTGAAGTACAGTTACCGTGACATCCGGATCAAAGTTTGGAATTTTATTTTAGACAGCTTGAAGATGCTGATTAAAGTGTGCTTGGATGAGCCTCATGGAAATGTTGGCTAATTCAGTCTTACGCAAAACTTTAAAATCGCCACTACTCTACTTCTGGATGATCAAAAAAGTATATATCTTTGGTTCTGTTTGTCCTTGTTATGACATTTGGTCTACATATATGATTTTCTTGGTCAAGTATTTCATTTATCAGCAGGATAATTTGCTAGGTTTATGCGAAAGGGGATTAAAATGGTTTATTAACCGCCTGCTCACTGCAAAAGAAAGGACTAAGAAGGCATCATTAATCGTTAGGATTCAAAGGTTTTACTTTTATCTATTGAAAATTAAATAAAACAGTAACAAATCCTATGTTGACCTGAAGTCACGTGCTTCTTCAGATTTATTTTCCCCGGAGTCGCTTTCTTTGTCATTATCACTTTCATGACCGCCATCATCATCGTGAAACAATGTCTGCTCATGGTCAACTATCCGTGCACATTTCTTGGAAGTTCATCGTTCGTATGTCTTATTGACAAAATCATCAATCATCTTTCAGTGTGCATCCATGGTTGGTCGATAACGGGGTGTATTCGGCTTTTTACAAACCATGCAGGGATGTTGCTGTCAAAAACACGTAAGCTCACAATTCTAATAGGCACTTTTGTAAGTCAGTAGTTACAAATAAGTTACGCCGAATAAATGATCACGAAAACCATGCTAACACCTAATAAATCACAAGGTTAGAACAAGACACTCCGGATGGAAAACGTGTCCTATTTAACATGTACCACAGGCCCTGATGGTGATGCGTTCATAATATTGGAGAAACGATACAGCTTTTTGCGTCCTGTCAAAGGCTTAATCATTCTATGGAACGTATCGACATATAAACGGGTCACTCAAAGGTAATATAATTTGTCATTTTAGTGAAGGAAAACAGGAAACACCACCCAGTCACACTATTCTACATTGGACCACACAGCAGGTTCCTAGCAGGTACATCTGACAAGAAATAATACGACATGAAGCCTGATAAAAAGTGTTTCAATCGGATAAGAAGTTTATCGAAATAAGTCATAATAAAACCGAGGAAAACCCCAAAAGTAGGTTGTCCACATAAGTCACTTCACAAGAATGGTACTGCTCAAGTAAAGATCAAATATTTTCCTGGGACAAAGACGCTACAGAGCAAGGCAAACGGATAGACTCCCTTGCTTATTTTAAGCAGATGAAAGAGTAAATGGCATACAAATATGATTATCATTGATTCCCAAAGGAGTTTCGGTGAATGCAATTAAAATAAAAATACTAATTGTCTGCTCGGATGACTAGACACATCCTTTGGATTTCAATGCGTGTGTATCCCTTGGGATCCTCGAAGACGAAAACGTTAACAACGTATATATCAATCTATAAACAAAATGCCCAACAAGAACAACAACAGTCAAAAGACGAATTTAATTATCTATAACGTTGAGTGATCAATGATGCATACCTAAGAAACAATAGCTGGAAGTATATACTTTCTTTTGAGCTAAGATAAAAATCGCCAAGGCGTCAACTGTAAATAAGCCATAAATAAGCTCTTTAAATGATCCATAGGTGAAAATATGGGTCAAGGAGGCATGCTTCACCCACAAAATAATCTATGATTAGTGTGTATGGTAGATTTCAGGCTGTTAATGAACTACTAATTTTCTGGATTTGACGAAAGACAGGATAAAATATATCAGTGTGGTTAAAACAAAAACTGGCCTTTTTCAAGTACCTTTTTTCTAAACAAAATGTTATCAAGGTCAAATGTAGTGTTTGTCAGTTTCAAGAAAATAGCAAGATGCATCGTTTGTTTAAGTTTTTAGCCAATTGCATAATCGAAATCGCATTTTGAACCATACTCTGTTGAATGTGTGGCTATTTTTATGCAGTTGTACGCAATGCAACAATATAACGGTGCGCACATATTACATTAATCGCACGTGTGCACACCGTCGGCTGATCGTCCTCACGTAAATGTACCGTGCGATTTAACTATCGATCGCCCCGCTGTGTGTTTAAACGCAATTCGATGGCACTCGATGATTTCGGATTTTTTCACTCAATAACATCGATCAATCTATCTAACCATATCGCGCTCATATGTATACCCATTACATTACACTAAACAGGTGCATATAACAACTAGCAATTAAGATTATTTGTTTACATTCAATCTTTGTGTACAGTATGTACATGTATATACCCGTATGTCTAAAACACTTTGTGTCCTTGTTTTGTTATATAAATACATAACCATGTAAATTTGGGTAAACTATGGTTACATACTTGAATCAGGGAAAATAGAAGGTTTTTTATATGAAATCGTATTAATTCACTGGGCATTCCTTGCTATACAAAAACCATGCTGCCTATCGAGCACATATGCGGTCGCTAATTTCGCACAATTGTTTATCGTGCGCAAATGGTGTTGTGTGATCCCAAAACTGTACTCGGAGACACTTTCATTTCGAGAGTTGCAATGCGTGATTGACCTGCGATGCTGAAATGCGAATCTGCTATTACAAACATGACCACAAACATTATACACGCCCCAGACCTCACAGCTTATCATACTTACAGACAAACTGGACAATTTTCGTGTAGAATTTGAGTGAAGATGATGCGACGCCGTCGTCTCTGTAACATATTTCATCGCTGTACGTCTTGCACTCATGTGTGACGGAGTTGTAGGAGAAGGAAATGCACTCGGAGTTATCACACGTACTGGCACATCTAATCTTTGTGTTCATAGACGATGTGCTTAACACTGACCCCACGTGGTTCTGTTCTTTCATCTTTGGTACCTCCCTGTACTTGTTGTAGGTCATTGAAGCCGAATTTATTCCTAAGTAGGATATAAACACATACACCACACAAACGCACACTTCAGAGTTTAAACGGAATCCGAACTTTGACATATCCATTATCCTCGCCAGTATCGATAATATATGAATACGCATCTATTTTGAAAATTCAAACCAATACATCAATAACCCATGCTGTAATATGCATTTCAATTGGTAGTAGCTATACGGACATAAAACGATAGCAATCGTACATATAAAGTGTTGTAAACACAAATTAAACAACCCTGGTGTTCTTGTGAAGGAATTCACCTCTAACATAGACGCGTATCTACAACTGATAAATACGACGAAGATTGGCATGTCACTACTGAGCAGCCAATCAAAAGCATGTATTTATAATCATCTTGTTAGGGATAACGGCTGATGATAGAGCACGTGGTAATTATACTTGTACACGATATAAAGCATATATTAATTGTTAATGATACATTGATATGTGTGGTTATCCGAATTAATTGCTTTCCTTTTGTAATCTAGTAAGTACAGATAATAGGAAACGTGTGCTGTCATATGTATATAAGCTAGGCTCTACGATCTGATATTTTAACTATATTTGCTTCCTATTGGCTGTCAAGGTACTCAACGTCTGTATAGCGAAACTGATGGCAAAGACCAAAATGACACCCAAACTATTCGCAGCAATTGAACAGTATTTGACTAATAATAGGATTATGCATTAATACATTAACGCTTAAGGGAATTGTGATAGCCAAGTTAAGCTGAATAAAAAATGAAACAGGGAAGAGTAAATGATAAGAAATATTTCTACATTCAGCAAAATCCCCCCCTCATCCAAGTATCACGATGGATGCCCGGAGGCTGGAGAGTTAAATAATATGCACTTGTCAACCTGTTGGGTGCGCGACACTGAAGTTCAAAATTGAAAAATATCTATTGATATTACCTTGCACGTGCCTGACCCCTGTGAGGGGTCACCATATAAAAAGGCATACCCAAGCCTTGACACACGCTTATTTCAAAGAGAAATGTTGGCAGATTGTATGCAATTATTGGGAGGGAAATCCAAAACTAAACAGTAGAAATAGAAACCCAGAAACTTGGGAGGGTATTTAACTCTCCACCCTCCGGGCTTCATTACAGAGAATCCCTCTCATCCATCGTGATACTTGGATGAGGGGGGATTCGCTTCCATTCAGCCCTACGGCTTACTAGTTAAATAATATGCACCTTCAAAGAATCTGCCAACATTCCAGATAACCATGAAAATAAAAAACAAACTTCAACTCAAGCTCAATCATTCATTAGTATTTCAAAATTACACAAAATTTCACAAAGTCTATATATCACTGTCCTGTCTGTAGCACACTGGTCGAAAATGAACCCGTGTCATCAATGTCTCTCAGGTAGAACCTTCTGAAGGTCTCTGCTGATGCCCAGTTTGCCGTTTCCAGTATATCTCTCAGAGATGTCCCAGCTGTATATGCTGCCGACACGGAAGCTCCTCTAACCGAATGAGGTTTAAACTGACGGTTAATTCCAGCCGCCATCATCACTTCCCTTATCCACCTTGCCACTGTGGAAGTGGACACCTGCAAACCTCTTCTGAAAGAGACTAAAAGTTTATTACTCTTCCGTATGTTTACTGTCTGTGACACATAATATCTTAAGGTTGAAACTACACACAATATTTCCTGAGAATATTTATACAACGTTACTTTATAAAATGGCTTTGATGGCTTAGATGTTTTCATAAGTTCTGGGACTGTAAAAACAATATATTGTCCAAAATCCTGAATATATGTTCAAGATATAAATTAACCAATATTTGTGCTCTTTGTGCTGTTGTAAGTGCTATCAAACAGGCTAATTTCTTGGTCAATGAATCCACCTCCAAGGCCGTCAAAGGGAACATATCACCCAAATACTTCAGCAAAGGTGCCACATCCCATGTTGATGAATACCTGGGCTTAGGAGGATTAGTGTTGAATACACCCTTCATAAACCTAGAAATTGGGGCATTATTCATCAATACTGTATGGCCTAGTAATGGCAAAGTCTGGGACAACATACACTTATGTGTATTTATAACACTGTAAGATTTCCCTAGATTAAACAAATGAGTGAGGTAGGAAATCACTTCCTTGATAGTGGAACGATTGGCACCAACCTGTCGTTTACCACACCAAGAGACCCAGTTATTCCATGCCAAGTCATACTGCTTGGACGTGGACCGTTTCCAGGAGGAGAAGACAAGCGTGGCAGCCTGTCGTGAAAAACCATGCTTTTGCAGAGATCTCCTGACACGCAACATGCGATCAGTCTTAGGCTGTTTCTTAAGGGATGCGGTTCCCCCTGTGGGGACAATAGCAAGTATCGCCACCTCGGCAGGCGTGCGGGCGCATCCACAACAATGTTTAATAGAGTAGGTAGCCACGCTTGACTTCTCCATAAGGGAATGACTACTATTGCCATACCTACTTTGCCTTCCTTCACTTTGTGTAGTACACGGCTGATCAGACTGAAAGGAGCAAAAATATACGGTAAGTAGTCTGACCATGACATAGAAAAAGCGTCATTGAAGCAAGCATCTGGATCAGGATACCACGAGACAAACTTGGTAACCTTAAAATTCAACCTACTTGCGAACAGGTCAACATCTGGATTGAAGAAATGACCACATATCCTGTCAAATATCAGAGGGTGTAAAGACCACTCTCCAGAAGACTGCATCGACCGTGATAAGTAATCAGCATCAACATTCAACACACCTGGTATGTGGCAGGCAGAAATGAAAATATTTCTTTCCGTACACCACAGCCATAACTCTTTAGCTAACTCATTCAGCTCTGTTACATTTCCACCAGGCTTATTAACATATGAAATTGTACAGATGTTGTCCGTCATAACCCTTACATGAACATCAGACATGTCTGAACAAAAACATCGTAAGGCCAACCAGACAGCTTTTAATTCCAAAAAATTAATGTGATGTTCACGTTCTGCTATTGACCAAAGACCTTTTGTCATTTGAGAGCCATACTTTGCTCCCCATCCATGACCAGATGCATCAGTTTCCATAACAACATCTGGATCACTAGGTCTTATCGCCCGACCATTCATACTGTTTACATTATCTTTCCACCATACAATTTCTGTTTGGGCCAACCTAGACAAACTGACCTTGTCATCATAAGACAAACCCTCATGTAAGGCCGCTGTCTTTTCCTTGTCTACCAATCTGTAAAATAGACCCGACAGCCGAACTGCTCTAAGGGATGATGTAAACAAGCCAATGAGACTAGCAAGTTCCCTCAGAGAAATTGACTTTTGACCTAACACATGGGAACATGCATCTACAATTTTCTTCACCTTTTGTTCTGGTAATGAAACAGTAAATGTGATAGAATCTATCAAATACCCAAGATGAATGACTATCTGACTAGCAGAAAACAAAGACTTTTCAGAACTAATCTGGAACCCAGCAGATTCAAAAATTCCAGCTAACACCTTACAGTTTCTTTCACAAACCTCTCTGTTAGCAGCCTTGACCAATGAGTCATCTATGTAATAGAAAGCATGGATACCCAGACTGCGAACTTTAGCCATAATTGGCTTCAGTACTTTGGTAAATATACGAGGGGCACTTGTCAAACCGAAGGGCATAGCCATAAACTCATATAGTATACCTCTCCATTTGAATTTCAGGTATTTCCTATGATGTTTGTTCACTGGTATACTGAAATATGCATCCTTGAGATCAATAGAAGTGAAAAAATCACCTCTCTCTACAGATTCTAGGACTACATCTAAGGTCTCCTGCTTAAAATGGTGATAAACAACAAACTCGTTCAACTTCCTCAAATTAATGACTGGCCTAAATTTACCATTTTTCTTTTGGACCAGGAACAAATTAGAAACAAATTCACCTTTCTCATGAATAGACTGAGTTATTGCCCCTTTAGATATCAAATCATTCACCTCAGAATCAACAATCTCCATCTCATCCTTACTAAAAGATATTGGTCCCGGCAATTTATGTTGCACAGGGATCTCTACAAACTCAAGTGTAAGACCACTCACAGTATCTAAAATCCATTCATCATCAGTCAATGATTTCCAAAATTGTAAATGCTCTCTGATTTTACCAGATGGAACACTCACCTTAGGGGCTATTCTTTTTTCTGTGTCTGGCTCTGGCTCTGAGCTTGCTGCATGTGTGCGGGTCGCCGTTGTCCCCGGCCCCGCTGGCTTGACCGTAAAAAAGGCCTCCCTGAGCCTCTGTACTGGCCATAGCCCCCTCGCCCTCTCTGGCCGCCATTCCAACCTCCTCGCTGTACCTGTTTACGTGAAGACAAAACATTGAAAGCCTTATTAGCTTCAGAAATGTCTCTCACCTTCTTTGCAAGATCATCCCCAAATAGATTTGCAGTTATTGGCATGTCCTTCCCACATAAGGCATGATATGATGGCGGGAGGGCTTGTCTCATAAGAAACCTACGTTTCACAGACAATGCATGTACCGCATTACCTAGCATGGACAGAGCGTCGATACACAGAGGCCTGAACTTCTCTCGAAAGTCCGGATGGCTCATAAGAGCCTCAGTCAGCCTCATCACCGGTACCATGCCGTCAGACACAGATTTCTGGGCCTCTTTAAGCTGAAAATCTCTTGCCTGTAAAGGCTTACCAAGTTTACCCCAAATCTCAGGGTTGCATCGTGGGACGGTCAAGTCGGCACAATTTGCCGGTATAGGGTACTTTTCTGCCATTTTAGAAACGTCCGAAGTTTTCCTACAAGCAGTATTTACAAGCTTGGCGAGTCCCTCATGAACACTAGGGCCCAACTTTACGTCACCATAAACATAGTCAGGGATGGCAAACAAATCCTCCATATGACCTTCCTCTGTGGGTAAAATATCAGAGTATATATCATCTAAATCAACTGAAGATTGATCTTTATTTTGAAGACCCAGCGGGTCTGTCATACTCAAAAAATCTGAGTCAAAACTGTCAACAACATAATCATTATCAATATGATGAATATCATACCCACCAGTTGTTCGGTTTCCTGTACCGGAACTCGCCCGGTCACGCTTAACGTCTGCTAACTGCTCCTCCAGAGCCCTCATACCTTTCGTCATGAGTTGAAACTCGCTGTCAGCGGCAGCCTCAGTACCGACAGGACGTTTCCTACCCCCACGGGGCAAAAGAATAGTCGAGGCATCGCCTCCGACGCCGCTATGTTTGTCGTTCCGAACAACGTTCGGTGACTGCGGCTGTGCAGAGTCATTATCACTTGCACAAGCGACAAAGTCGCTTAGGCCCGAATTTAAATTCGGAAGGGGTTCCGGAAAGAAATCGTCACACCCCTCTGCCTCTGTTTCTCCTGGATGGAGAGAGAGGTCATTGTCAGAATCACAATTATCAGCATCGAAAGTTACTGACAAAGGCAACCGTTTACCGCGAGCCTGCTTACGACGCATAACTCAAATTTCACAAAACAGCTGATAACGAAATGTAAACACATGAAATTCGCGGAGCGAAGGAAAGGTATCAATAAAATAATTTCAAATTGCAGTTACTTTTACCAAGCAAATGCAAATCGCGGACGCGAGACCCGCAAGATATCCTTCCCTTCTGGCTTAATGTCTGTCACGCACCCTGACTGACAAAAAAGCGTGTGTCAAGGCTTGGGTTTGCCTTTTTATATGGTGACCCCTCACAGGGGTCAGGCACGTGCAAGGTAATATCAATAGATATTTTTCAACTTTGAACTTCAATGTCGCGCACCCAACAGGTTGACAAGTGTATATTATTTAACTAGTAAGCCGTAGGGCTGAATGGAAGAGAATAGCATATTTTTTTCAATGACCTATGTTACAGTAACAAAGGCTGGTGTACACCCTTGTCAGTCGGACATTACTAAGCTATTCTAAATAAACCTGATTTTGCAAATATTTCAATATATTGAGTCTCCTTCGCTAAAAAAAATGTTTTAGCTAAATAATGCGTTATACTTCTCTATCACAGCATGCCACTTTTCAAGTATCACCATCCAGGGTCCCCTAGTAATGCAGAATAAACTGTTTAAAGATGTTAACATATTTGAGCCCTTTGACCTTGGAAGTAAGTCAAGGTCATTTATTTGATGAAATTATACAGCACTTCATGCAAGGTACCTACTGGAAAGCAGCATTTCTCTTTGCCCCTTGTTATTCTGTTGTTTCAATGGTTTTAAATATTTGACCCCTATGACCTTGTAAGTAGGTCAAGTTTATTTATTTGACGGAACTTCATAACATTCTGCCCAATGTACATACTGGACAAATATCTTTGTTGTAGGCCTCTTGGTTATTCAAAAGAGGTTGCTTAAATGTTTTTACATATTTGACCCCTATAACTTTTAATGTAGGTCAACGTCATGTATTTTACGAATGTTTAGTACACCTGTCCCAGGTTCTTGTACGTACTGGGCAAATATCATTGTATCTTGAAAGTAAATCAAGGTAATGTATTTGAGGACAGTTAATAGCATCAAATACCAGGTACCTATTCGAAAAGTATTACGGCCCTAGGTCCTCCAGTTCTTAAGAAGAAGTTCAAAGAAAAAGTTGACGGACGACAGACAACACACCTTACCATACGATAAGTAAAAGAGCAAGGTGAGCTAATAACTGCCTTAACATGTGCACGTCGTAGTGCACTACGAAACTAGGTACAATGCTGACTGGTACATTTAGATGCTGCCAGCAAAAGTTCTCAATATATGACAGCATTTCTACAGATGAAGAGATATACATCGTTCATAAATCCCAATCCATAATGTTCATTAAAAAGTAATGATGATAGATATTCTGCGTTTTCACCTTCGGCCGTTCTAACAATCACATCAACTTATTAACCTTCTACACCAGAGATCAAGTTGAAAATCAATATGGCCGGTCATTGTAAACTATTAACTGGGCAAAACAAATCGAACTCATATCATTTATTCCCGAGTCGGTTCATGCATGTATCTATTTGACTGAAATCAATGATCCGTCAATGATACATATCTCTCATACCAAACTAAAAAAATACTTTCCTTACCATGTTGGCTTATGGAGACTTATAAACAGGTATGTAATGTCCCCGTTCCTCTTGACATTGAAAAATAATTTTAAAAAAAATAATTGTGTACATCTCGTCGTTTCTTAAAGGTATTTTTTCGTTTGCATAATGTTTCATTCCATTACCTTTCTCCTTCGATTAATAAATTATTATCCTGACAAATTCATGACAGAAATTCGAATTGATATTAAAAAAATTACCGAGAAAAATTAATATCGCAAATGCTCTGAATTGTCAATAATGCTGATTATCTAGTGGTTGCATATTGTTTTTACATATATATCAATCAGGCAAGTGACACACGTTGAATGATCAATGAATTTCAGTGAAATATAATCAGATAGATTTGAAAGTACATGTATTGATATTTACCACTGATTTGCATTGTCACTATATAACCCTACCGCATTCAGATGGCATTTACTTAGACTATGCATGCCATGAGTCGCTTTTTGACGGCTTCATTATTACGACATCATAGATGTGACGATAGCTACCAATGACCTCTCAGGACAGATGACCGTTCTATTTATTGCACAGGTATATATGACAAATATCTTACTTGAACTAAATGCTGAATAGAATAACAATTGAACTGCTTTCATTTGGTATTCATATGCAATATGAATGTCAATCGGTCGAAGGCAAATCCTACGCAGTTAAATGCTTGATAAACCAAATTTATTTGGTTCTGTATATCCTAACAGATATATCTCCTGTGCAACTGGATACAGACGAACAGATAGATAATCAAGCCGATTTTATAAATTCTCGAAGCTATGCAATATTCTAAACCATGTTGCTTCTTTCGCCAACGATACGCTCGACTAAATTTCCATTTCTTTTAATGCCATCAATGTTCGCTCGTAAAATAGATTTTATTGAATAATTTATGTTTACGATCAATATGATTAAGAAGATACTGACTTTATGGTTAGAGACATTCTGTGTATCTGTTGACCTATATGAACATATATGTATACACCTTACTGATCGACTATTCAAATACTTTTAAACGGTTTTCAATGTATGCATTTACTGCTTTTTAAATGCTTCGAAAGAGGTTGATTGTTTTCAGTTAGCCTATTAAGCATGTGCTTCCAATAAACGGTAAAAGGGACAGGCGAGTCTCGTGACATTGATTGCTGATCATAAGATTACAACCGTAGGGTATCTACATAATATACATATATATATATAACACTTATATATTTGGAAGTAAATTCGATAATAAAAATTGAAAGAAAAATGATAAGGCATAGACGTATTATTTAAAAGATGCAGCCACTTATTGTTGTAATCTACTTGCATTATCATGAAACCAGATTGTTTATATCACTTTATATTATTAATTATAATTAACACGATAATTGGTCAGACTTCCTAGATAATGAATCCAATGTTCAATAGGATAAAAACGCTACGGCTTTGTTTTCTATTCTAACTCAAGTCCAGGTCGCTGCTTGCCAGATCTTCAATCTTTGTAGTGCTCGTGATCTGGTGTTGTAATAACAAAAACAAAAAGCTTTGTCACTGAAAAACATTCTAGGTTATCTGGTGCAGTTCATGTGGTGGCAGATCCAATGACAATACACTCGGTATTATAATAACAAAGAACATGAGCTTTGTCGCTGAAAAAATACCTTCTGGGTTAGACTAGTTAATAAATAAATAGGCAGCTAGTTAAATTCTTAATGTCCACGCATGACGACTTACTGCAGTAAGATGAAATCGCGCCAGAACAGATGTCAACAAAGTGCTTCCCATATTTTTCCTTCAATAATTTACCGCTTATTTAGTGGAAGCTCTTAACGAAGTCAAGATCTAAAGCGTGGACCACTGCAGACAAAACAGATTACCACGATGTCAAATGTTCCTCGGTACGTGACTGAGCACTTCAACAAAAACCAAATGGCAGCATCGCCAGAAGGCAAGAGAAGCGGAAGGTGTACAAGGAATACTAACTGTTTTCGTTAAAGAACATTCGATGCAAGATGATCACTAGTCAGACTTATTCGTACAATGTAGAACGGATCATAAGAACTCTTCCGTTCGGCAAAGAAGGAAAATTATGAAATATTTTGAAATCTTTATATGAAGGTTTAAAGCCCTGTGTGAGATATAAGTCTGAATTGTCTGATTTTTTTTCGTGCCCACGAGGTTTGATGCAAGGGGAGGGGTTATCTCCCTTCCTTTACTCCATGTATGTGAATGATTTTGAAAATGAACTTATTAATACTTCCTGTGACGCTTTATTCTTAAGAGATATTTCTCTGTTTCTTCTTATGTATGCAGATGATACTGTCCTTTTCTCAGAATCTGACTCTGGCTTGCAGAAAACGTTAGACTCGTTAAAACAATATAGCGACAAATGGCAATTGACAGTCAATATGGAAAAAACAAAAATTGTTGTATTTCGTAATGGCGGAAATTTACAAGATGGCGATTTTTTTTTAATTTAATGGTAATGAAATGGGAAATTGTTGATAGATTTAATTACCTTGGTGTACTGCTCAGCTTTAATGGTAAGTTTACAAAATCTCAAGTAACTATTGCTGAACAAGGTCGTATATGTATGTATAATGCGTTAAGAATTTGTAACAATTTGTCCCTCAATGTAGAATCCAAACTTAATGTTTTTGATGTCTACGTTTCCTCCACTCTTAATTACGGTTGCGAAACATGGGGTTTCAATATTGCGGACAAAGTAGAAAAAGTGCATGTTGATTTTTTTAAAAGAATTCTGAATGTTAAAAACAGTACGCCATATTTTATGGTATATTCGGAATTAGGACGTTTGCCTTTGCATATCATCAGGAAGTGTCGAATAATCAAATATTGGTTGAAACTAATTAAATGCGACAATTGTGTACTTAAGTCAGTTTATGAAGATATGAATGAATGTAATCACAGAAACTGTAATTGACGCTGTCAAGTTAGAAAATTATTATTGTCTTCTGGTTTTGGTAATGTCTGGTTAACTCATTATGTTGATAATTAAAGGGTATTTTTACATTGTTTCAAGCAGCGTTTGACAGATGTTTTTATTCAAACAAGGAATGAATTTGCTGAAAGATCATCCAAATGTTATTTGTATAAATTCCTGATAGATGTCTTTACGTTGCAATTTTATCTAACAAAGTCTATTCCAGATGCGTATCTTAAACTTATTTCGAAATTACGACTCTCATCGCATCCGTTATATGTAGAAGAAGGTCGGTATCGTAATATTCCGAGGGCGAATAGTTTATGCCGTTATTGTAATCAAAACCAGGTAGAGGACGAGTTCCATTTTGTTCTGATTTGTCCACTCTATGTTGATATTCGTAAAAAGTTCATTAAAAAGTATTACTGGAGCCGCCCATCTTCATATAAATTTGTCTAGCTGCTGGCTGTACATAACAGAAAAGAGCTGTGTAATTAAGGAAAATATCTGCAATCAAGTAGGTTAGAACGGTCTAGATTCCAACCTTAGGTTATTTTGTTTTTTATCACACAAACATTTGAGTACTTGTTTATTTCTAGGTTAACACATGTTGTTTTGTCCATCCCCTGATCACTACATCACTGTATACAAATTGTATGCCTGTTTTTTGTTTTTTTATTA